GAGAGAGAGAGAGAGAAAAAAAAAAAAGGAGAGAGGTTTGTTTTATTTTGCTTTGTTTTATCACCCCTTACATCTGTTTACCTAACTCTCCAGACTGCAAGCCACTTGATTGTGTATGGGGGTGAAGTTGAGTGAGAGGCCAATAATACACCAAAGATAAACTGAAGGCAAGGATTATGGTAACATTCACCAACTTAAACAAAGAGATCATCCAAAAGAGTTGCAAAAGATTCTGAAGTTGTCTGGAGGCCGAGGTTGACTATTAAGCACTTTTTTTTTTTTAGCACTTGATGCATGATATTGTGTGTGTGTGTGTGTGTGTGTGTGTGTGTTTAAATGTCCTTGATCTAATCAGTAATTCAATGACCAAAAATCAGAATACTGATGATGGGGAGAGAGACAAACCAAGAATTTATCAGCAGCACTCCTTCATATTACATTTATGGAGTTCTTTTTTTTTCTTCCCAACCCTTCCAGCATATTAAAAGTTTATTTACAGCAAAAAACGTTTATATAATATCAACTACTCCTGGAGAGAAGAAGAAAGAAAAAAAAAAAAACTTACTCCTTTGCTTACAGGGCTGCCCTCATAAGTCTCATAAGGTCCATATTTTTCTGAAAGTTCACAGCTTGCATCCAGACTTGCATAATAAATGGTGGAAAAAATTTGTTTGTTTAGTTCCTGGGCTTCTTCACTGTCAAATGGATAACGCATCAGAATAAAGGCATCAGCCAAACCCTGCACCCCAATTCCAATTGGCCGATGGCGCTTGTTGGATACTTCAGCCTGAAAGAAAGAAGCAACAATCAATTACTGTAGGGAGGGTGAGAGAGGGAGGGTGAGAGGGTAAGGTCCAAATTTTTATTTTCTAATACGATTGGATGACAGAAAAAAAATAGTAACATAATTTAAAAGCGGGTTTAAGTATTTATAGAGGTTTTTAATATGATAAGGAATCAGTGAAATGGGGCAGGATGATATGAGGAGGAAAGGGAGACATTGAGAGGTTTAAGGAGGGGGAGGCTGTGTGTCTATGAGTGTAAATGACAGGGACTTACAAATGTTCTAAGCCTGGCTGTCTGGCCTCCCTCAATTTTTCATAAGTGCCCCCCCCCCACACACACACAACCCTCCTCCATTGGTAGCATGATGCAATCTTCAGACTGACCATTACATAATTTAAGTTTTGATAAATTTACCAGATATTTTTAAATAAGAGAACAGCTCAATTATTTACAGGATTTGAAGAAAAAAAAAAAAAAAAAAAAAAAAAAGCTGAAGCTGATCTTCATTACTTTTGTTAAATATGTTTAAGGTTGCAGAATTATTTGAACTGCTTTACCTATTAAGAAAATTTTTCCTGATTTTGTTTTACATTGTGGCTGTAGTGAAGAGGGGGAGAGGAAGATAGAGGGAGGAGTTAAGCTATAACATTGCATTTTTCTTCTTAAATTTTCCAATTAATTTCTAATTGCTTTGTTCTAAGGCTTTTATAGATTTATTTTTATTTTCAAATACTTTCTCATTGCTTGAATTAGTTCAATTTATATTGTACCAATTTGTGTAAATGTTTTAGTATAATGGAAGGATGATTAGATTCACTATTTATATAATTTCCTTTTATGTAAATCTTCAGTATATGGTTCGTAATTCCCAAAATTCAAGTCCAAGGTCATGTCAAGGAAGTTGATTGATCACCGACATCACTTGTAATTTTTAAGTTGTGATCCTTCAAGAGTTTAATCGGTTCTTAATTGATTTAGGTTTGAGGGAATTTTTTTTTATGTAGTAAATTCCATCATCTCTATAGTCTGGTATCCTTAATGTAGGTACCTCCACAAGATCGCTAAAAAAAGAGCATAGCATGATGAAAAAGACGCCAAACTTGACGAAAAGAAAATTTTATCATCTAAATGTTTGTTATTCATTAAGAGGAAAGGTCAAAGTATTTTTTAGGGTTTTTTTTCCATTTTTAATCGTTCCTAGCACGTCCGAAATTTTCGTTAAAAATCTAGTTTTTTTTGAGTCAGCAAAATTGACCATTTTTTTCCATTTTAAAAAAAAATGGAAATTTGACTTTGAAATTTTTTAAATATCAATTATCATTTTTTCAAAACTTATTTTAAGAAAATCATAAATTATAATGTTTATTTAAAATATTTTGAACCAAACTTAACTTAGCTTAGCTTTTGTGCCAAAAAAGATGTAATTTGAAAATAAAACAAAGCAGGTCATAAACTTTCGCGTCTCTTGACATGTGATTAATGATATATTTACTTAATTCCATGAGGCTATTTGTTCTACGGAAGGAGAAAAGTGAAATAATTTACATTTACGTGAACAAATTATTTACCCGTTATTTTTAAAGAAAACTTTCAGCGTCTAATTTTTTTTTTTTTTTTTTGTACTTAGCTTTCACCTTTACGTTTATGATGCTTTATGGGAAATATATTCTAAAGAAATTAAAATAAAACTGTTAAGAGTGACAATAAATTTCATATTTCTTAAGAAAGGTATCTAATTAATTTATAGGTACCTTTCTTATGAAATTTTATCAGAATTGTACATAAAATACTATAATTTTATGTACATTTATTACATTCTACTGTTATTTGTATTTGCATTCATTTTATTATTAATTTTGATATTTCATTTATGGAAAATGTCGTAACTGAGATTAATATAAAAATAAGATCATATAAATTTCATAAAATGATACTGATACTTGTAGGTAACCTTCTCAGTTGAAATTGAAAAAATCAAATTAACTTCTCCACACGTGTTTCGCAAAAGTAAAGGCCTTAACAGTGGAGAACAATGCTTAACTCAAATAACGCAACTTAATTATATTCTGGTTGGTCTTCCGTATTTTATAATTACAGCTCGATTATAAGCACAAAATTACATTTCTTAATTACTGGGGATCTTCCGATTAGTCAAAATGATACAATTTACAACGCTTTAAAAAAAGATCTATCTCATAAGGACACTTATGAAAGCCTGTGCAGCTTTTTTAACTAATTTTATAATATTTTAACAACTTAAATGTAAAATCTATTATAATTAATGAAATAACAAATAATTGTATTAAAAATTCATTTTCATCGAAAAAAATTTTTTTGCTTTCAGAAAATATTGTCCATATTCATAAAAACAACTAAAAGATAATAAAAGCATTTGAAATTAAATAATATCTGTTTTATTGAGTTTTGTATGTTACAATTCAGAGCTGATTTTCAGGTACTGCGTATCCAATTGAAACAAAAAAAAAAAAAAAAAACATGATTTGCATTCCTCAAAGCCCTGTGCTTTTCATTATTGTAATCACTAAAACCGATGCGATCGAATTTCTAGCGTTTTCATAAAATTAGTTGGGGGGGGGGGGATAAATAAATATTTTTAGAAAATATTTCTACCATGACTTTCATAAAAAAAACATATTTATAATAATTTCGATCATCTGTGAATAGTTCCTGAAAGTTTCATTAACATCCGATAATTATTTCTATTTTTGCATGATTTAAAATTTTGTTTTCGGCAAGGTTGGCGTCTTTTTCATCAAGCTATGCTCTTTTTTTAGCGATTTCGTGGAGGTACCTACCTTAATGTGGAACAGAAACCTCAATTGCCACAATAACAATATTCCAATCAATTCACATGCCTCTACAGAATCAAATGCAGATATTGGAATGTTAAATTGTTTGGGAATACTTTTTTGTCCACAGACATGCATTGTGGTACAACACAGTCACATTGTGTCTGCTTTATAATAAGAGTGGGTGGACAGAGTTGGGATACTGGAGGTCACATCAATCAGCTAAGTGATAAACCTTTACTTAATCATTAGTAGACAATTTCATCTCGCAAGATAAAAAGGTAGCGCACGCATTTGGTCAAAACCCAGTCCTTTGGTGATGAGATAGTCCTCATCCAGGGCAATGGTGGATGGAGGCTGTGTGCCGAAATCTATGTCTGTAGAGGGATTTTGGAGATTCTAATATCATCTCCTTACAGTTAACTCAGACTTCGCTCTGCGGACATGAACTTCATTCAACATCAGGGTTGAAAAGACAGACACCCTCTTTCATCGTCTACCGAAATAGTTTATTCCCCACATGAAGCAAAGAGATTTTTTTGATTATTCATTCATATTGTTCTGTATAACTAAAATAAAGAGCTCTCTTTTGTGGATCAGCTTTAATATTTTGGAAAAACTTATTTTGAAATTTACTGAGTTTTTAAATATTATGAATGTATGTGCTTTTAAAACTCAGTAAATTTCAAGGTAAGTTATTCCAAAATTCAGTTGAAAATGAAACAACTAGTGCTTTTAATTTAATTATATAATTGAATTTGAAGTTGTTAGCTCCTGTTTTTGAAACATGGTAATTCCTGTGTAGCAATGGAACCATTTTTTGAATCAGTCAATTTATACTCTGTAAATTTACACTGAGCACTGTTTTGTTAAAATGAAAATATCAAGAACACCGGATTATATATCTTACTGTTCTTTCACTTTTTACAACACCCAAAGAGCAAATTATCTTTTAGGTATGTCTGAATAAATTACAACATTATGTCTGTAATATTATGATAAAAATAAGCAATCAAATGAGGCAAAGAAATGCACTGCAACAGCGCAAATCACTTATCCCCCCCCCATGTACTTTTTTTTTATCCCCGAGATCATAATGAGTGAAACTGGAAAGGCAAAAACCATCCATTACTGAATTTTTTTTCTTCCTCTTTTGCATTTAAATGTTTTATCATTTATTATTAGAATGATAAAGTTATCCATTATGCAATTTTTTCTTTTATGTTGGAATGTCATGGTTGAGCACACATTAAAGCATGAAAACATTTTGGAACATTATTACAACATTAATAGCCGATTCTATTCAGTGTTGGCGTCATATTTTTTTTTTTTTTAAAGTGTAGATTGCTCCAAGGATCTGTAGATTTTAATTTGTTATTTCCTTGGTGTAGGATAATTGTGTTATCAATCAGTATTTTTCTATACTGTGAAGGCGGACAGGAATGTTGTAAAAGTTTCGTAATCGAATGGCCAGACATGTAGAGTAAGACGTCTTGATAATGTAGTTATTGTATATCCAACACATATTTGTTTTCTTATCGGAGACATTCTCTGAATGGACATTTGAATTGATATATATAATGTTCGTTTTATGAAATACATCAGTTGGTGGGAAGGAGGTACTATGAATAATTAAATTGGTTGTATTGTATTTTGCATAATTTTTTTTTTTTTAGGATCCATGAGAGATATTGATGTGAATGAGAGTTTTTTTTTTTTTTTTTTTTTCTAATCCTGTTTGTAGTTAGCATGCATCTGGTTACAATATAAGAGTGTATATTTAGGGTCCTTTGAAAAGGTACCATACACTATTTGACATGTACGTGTTGAGGTTTTTGATAGATTGACTTATTTGTTCATCTACAATGTGGTTTGGGAAATCATTATTAAGGAGAGCCTGGTTAATAATTTTTAGTAGTGTAGAAAATCTTTTTTGTTGAGAAATTAATTTGTGCTTGTTAATTAAATTCTGCATAAGTGTTTTTATATATATATATATATATATATATATATATATATATATATATATATATATATACACACACACACACACACACAAAGTGACACTTGATAGATGAATAAAATGCTTCTGAAATGTTAAATAACTAATTTAAAAGTTGAAATAGGCATCATGTTGATGAATGAAATTCTTGGTCCCATCTTTAGAAAAAATTCTCATCTTTTGATGTGATAAACAGTTTAAATGCTTCGATTACCTCCTCCTTATTGGAGAAGGTCTTATTGTGTATGAAAAGCTCAAAATACTTAAATAAGTGATAATCAGTAGGAGAGATATCAGGTGAATATGGAGTATGAGACAAAAATTTCATCATTCTAGCTATGCAGCTTTGGACAGTTGATTAAGAAGCATGCGGTCATGCTAAGAGGTTTCTTCAATTTTTCTTGCATACATGAAATTTCTGCACAATACAAGATTGCCATTATTGTTTTCCCTTGGAGGCAAGAATGAATAACCCCATTTAATCCTTAAATTTTTAGGGTGCAGTGGAGATTTGGAATATTATTTTAGTGATTCACTTTCATCTAACCACTGGCCTACTCTTGTCAAGGAATATTCATTTCTTATCACATGTATTGAATCAATGCAAAAATGTTTGTTTTCTCCAGTTTGTACCCATACAGTAAGATTAAGAGATACTGTTTAATTGGGCTTATGAGTAACAATATATTCAAAGAAAGAGGAATAAGCCATTTTTTTTTTTTTTAAAATATACTAAGGAGGTTACTTTGTTAAATGAGTGGATCAACAACCAAAAAATGGATCATATCAGGTGTTACAACATACACACATTTTATTTATACACACACAGAATTTGTAAAGTTATGCAAGTCTCAATAACCCAAACTACCTTTGAACAATTGTCAAATTTTCAACAATTAATTTACATGTTAAAATAAAGCTTGGGTTAAATTTTTAGGGAATTTCAACATATTTTATTAACATTATTACATTATAAAAAAAAAAAAAAAAAAAAAAAAAAAAAAAAGGAAATCGTTTAAAATTTACAGAAATTGTTTATTAAAAGCAAACTTGGATTAAGTTTATGATTTGCATAACTTCAGATCAACAGTATAAACATGCAATCTCATATACACATACATGCCTACATATACACACAAGCACATGCATATATTCGTGTGTGTGTGACAAAAATGACAGTAAATCAACTGCTTATAAACTTACCTCTGGAACAGGGTAATAATTCACATCAATAATTTTGTTCAAGTTCCTTACTATCACTTTGGTGACTTCTATGAGCTTCTCAAAATCAAATGTTTGATCAGATTTGACATATTTGTTTAATGCAATAGAAGCCAAATTACAGACAGCCACCTGCAGAAGAAAGAAAAAAAAAAAAAATCCTTTCTAATAGAACATCAATATATTGCTAGTTACAAAAGAGGATTTATGCCAGATTGTGGATGGGATAATCAGACCCAAATGTAAAATAGTTTATGGTGATCTGTAAGTTTGTTTTGTTTTATGGTATATCAACCTCAATGGCTTATTTAATCCCAACAATTTTTAATGCTGATAATATTTTGTTTTGTTAAAAATCTATTTCTAGTAATAAATTTTTTTTTCTTTCAAAAATATGTTGCTGACCTGTAAGAAATATCCCCAAAAAACCCAGATGCGTAAAATGGTATGAAATATCAACCAATACATAATACTATTTTTAAATATTTTTTTTTTATTTTTAATTAAATGTAGGATTTCAAAATGACAAACAATTTAGATAATTTCATCACCTTGTCAATGAAGCAACAGGTACTGAGCTAATAATAAACTAGAACAGACAGACACACACAAGTGCATGTGAAAATGTACGTGTAAAACAGATTTCGGCCAATTCACACACCCACCACCATCTAGCTCTATAAGGTAATATTCACATAATACAAATTTTATTGTAATTATGTACAATGACTCATATGCAATATAGGTGAACAATTCCAACCAGAAAAATTGAAAATAAATACAAATTACGTCATAATAGAGCATTCCTCCCGAAATAAACAAAGAATGCTCTGTCAATTTTTGACAAACTTGAGATTTCCCAAACAAAAAAGTTGAATTTTAACACATTCAGCATGAGAGAGAATTTTTCTTTTAGTGCATGTTTTGAGACTTAGCAAAACCAATCATATATATATATATATATATATATATATATATATTTATATTTATATATATATTTTGGTTTTATAACAAGAGTCATGCTCATCTTTTTCCAAAGAGATATTTGTGCAATATAGAAAAAGACTAAGACTTCCCTTTCCTCTCCAGTGCTGATATTAATTTTATTACATTCCTTCATTCCCCGCACCAGAAAAAGTACAAACAATGGTAAATTCAGAGAACTAAAATTATCACTTGCTTACAAATTTTAGTGCATCATTTTACTGACAATTACTCCCATATTATGCAAACAAGTCACCACAATATTTAAATTAGCCTTAAATAATTAAGGCTTTTTATATCCATTTGTTACTTACATTATTGCCAACTAAGACTGTTTTTACATAAGTATTGAAGTGGTCCATCTAATTAAAATATCAAGTACAGGGTGTTGGCCAAGCATGTTTTAGGCCGGGTTTGGGAACAGATCATCCCTACTTGTATGTATTTCAATAGCAAAACTAGCAAACAATTTTGCTAATACACATTGAGAATCCTTTATCCAAAATGCTTCAGTTTCCAGATGGGGGGGTTTGGAATACAGGGCTATTTAATTTGTATATAGCATCTATAAGATGGGACAGCATAAACACGATATTTCTTTATATGACAGCTTATACATATACCCTGAAGGTAGATTCTTTATCACCTCACACCTTTAAATATTTAATGTTATCTTTTTCTTAAATTTCTGTAAACACCCTGCTGAATATTAAGCTACCTTCAATATTCAGTTTGTCATGATAGAGTTTTGCCAGTTTCATGATCAGTATTCTAGTAAGCAACATGTTCACTCACACTGATGAAATCCACTTCATCAATACACAATCAAGATCATCATTTTTTGCTGTGCAGCAATTTTCTATTTCTCATTAATTTCTGTTCATCACTTTAACAATTTATCCTTCCGTTTCTTTAGGTCGTATAATGGTAATTGTTCCAACACTAAATTCCTCCCACTTATACAGCCTTGTTTAGACAAGTTTTTTTTTTCTTTTTTTCTGTGATATTATACAGAAATGCTTCACTTTTTTCCTTTTCACTACTCGTATGGGTTTCTGCAGGACTGACATTTTGAATATCTTTACTGCGCACAAAACACTTAGTAAGTAACCCACAAATGAAGGTGTTGCTCTGACTACTGCTAACAAGGAAAGAGCAAAAAAAAAAAAAGAACCCCACCAGTGCCAACATAGGCCCACCCAGGGCAGATGAGGTCACAATACCCAAGAACATTCAATGTGCTTTCTGAGATTTTCCATTTATGGCAAGTCATGTCAAAACCTGAAGGATTTTCAGATAAAGGATACTCAACATGTATACAGTGGTCTGTAACTAATCTTGGAATATACATTTATATTCTGTTCCACCATTTTGCTAAGTATCCAGACTTTTCAATCAGATCACAGAGTTATTTCAGACGAGGTTAAATATTGATACCAAGTCAAGTAATTTTCATCCATTAACAAATGTTTGACTTACCTCATCAGGGGAGGTATATTCAACAATCTCTGTACAAAGATTGCTACACTTGATGGTTCCCAAGTTTTGCTGGTTGGTTTTACGGTTGCAAGAATCTTTATAAACCATATAAGGAGTCCCAGTTTCAGTTTGGGACTCTATAATCGCATACCACAGCTGCTGGGCTTTTAGAGTTCGCTTTCCTTTACCAGCCTTTTCATAACTAAAAATAAAAATAAAATAAGAAAAAGTTAGAAGACCCAAAAGGATGTGATGGCAGTTAAGTTCCTCAAGTTAAATCTATTATAGATATGTTAGCCTATCACCTGGTTCACATTCCTCCCCAGTCTTTTGAACATACCGGGAAAGTTTAACAGATTTCCAGTTCCTTCTAAAGTATTATCTTAGTGGTATCTTACAGGGATGAATGAATTAAACAAAATAAACTCCAAGCAAAGCAATCATGTCACTAAGACAATTTTTTTTCATTTTCAGTAATTCCTTACTAAAGAGAAAGGACAATAAAAGAATTCAGAAAGTAGATTGTAATAGATGTTGCATTAAAATTTTTAAAAATTGTGTCAAAAAAGTTGGTAATGTTTCGCAGGTGAGAAAAATAACTATTAGAATAGAATTTACGGTTACATGTATCTATTTCAGCAATGTGACACAGTTGCCAATCTAGTACTGCACTTAAATTTGAAGTACCAAAAAAAATCTGACAAGGATAATTACACGCACTACATAACACGCACTACATAACACGCACTACATAGAGAAGCTACATTGTGGAGGAAAAGTGGCAAAACTGAGATGCCAGCTTAGTATGTACTAACTGGTTCAATTATTATGCGAGTTCTGGCCCCTGGGTTGAACAGTACAGACTTGATGGAATCAAGGCAAACAACAATTGAGCTGTACTAAAGAACAAAACAAGATTATCCCAAATGTGAGAAATTTATCCCTGCTTTCCCACATGAAAAGGGGAAAAAGTGAGAGAATCGATAAAAGCAACAATATTCAGTATTTATCAAGATTAGGAGGCTCAAAAATAGCGGGAACTTTTCCCTCCAAAATTGCTATACACGTTCCTGGCCGTCTCATTCATCAAAACATTCTTATCTCTGATAAGAATCAAAGATTTGAGAGCTGGTTTTTGGAAGCAAGGATCTACCAAGTACTGAGTGTTACCCGCCCAACATTATGGCACCATGGTCAGGGCAAGGTTAGTCAAATTTAGTTTTATATTTTCCAGCTCTCATATTCATCAGAAAATATGTTCTTATCTCTGATAAAGATCAAGGCTTTAGGAGCCAGATTTGAAAGCCGGGATGAAAGTTGTGGCAAACATCAGAAAAGAGGCTAGAACGCAAACTTGAAAAACGCTGTAGTAGTGGTTCTGAAATTAAATTCTAATACTAGATGGAATAATTTAACCTCTTAGATTAAATAAAATGTTAAGTTCAAAATCTCCTGAAGGCTATCTGGATCAACAGATACAACAACCAAAACCTGCTAACAAAGGATGAAGACTTAAGATCTATTCTCTAGACAATATTTAATAACTAATGCTTTGTTGGATTAACCAGTCTCCTCTGCTGGTTCAGATGGGTTCTGCCCAAGTAGCTCAATTTATGCTGTTGTTTTAGCCAATCAAAACCAATTTAGTAGTCAGCCATGTCAATATCAAGTGCCCTTGAATATTTTTCAAACATTTTATAAGTGTCAAAAGCTAAAAAAGGTTGGAATTTACTTTAAACAATTTATCAAGCTTTGCATACGGTTTTGTCATGCCTTCTGTCATTGAAATTGCCCAGATCTACCTCCAAGACAGCCACCCCAGCTTTATACCAGTGAGGCACTTAGCTTCAGACACATTGTCAACATCCCAAAATTTAGTTTACTCTTGCCAGGACTTATATTTGATAGGCTTCCTGAATTACTGACAAAAAATTCACCAAGCAACTGAAAGTGCCATCAGCTTAGAATAAAACAACTAGCTTAAATTGAGCTCCTTGAGTAGAATCCATTTAAACCAGCAGAGGAGACAGGTTAATCCAACAAAGCATTATTATTATTAATACCTAGAGGATGCAAGCTCAATCTGTATGCAGACCAACAAATAGTCCACAGAATAGATCTTAAAGGCATTAGTATGAAAACAGGTAAACAGAAATATACCAAGTCAAGCTTAGAAAACGTTTTTTCAAAGAAATATTTCATAAATGTGAACATGCCTACCTTGTATACAATTCTTCAAATTCCTTGCCCCAGACATCCGACAGTCCAGGGCATGCATCTGGGCACATCAATGTCCAATCTCCATCATCTTCTACACGCTTCATGAACAAATCTGGGATCCACAAGGCATAGAAGAGATCTCGAGCACGCTGTTCATCTTTACCTGTATTTTTCTTGCAATCCAAGAAAGCAAAAATATCAGCATGCCAAGGTTCCAAGTAGATGGCAAATGCTCCAGGACGCTGGGAGTTAAAAAACAAGTATGAAAATAAAAAGGTGTCATCACAAAGTGACAAGCATTAGGGAGTTTGCAAGAACATAGAAACTGAAGGTGATGATTAGTCGTTTTATGCGTTATCAACCCCAAATGGTTCATTTAAAGCCGAGACATTTAATAAAACTAAATTTTTTCCACAATAATAGGGTATCAACAACTTAATTTCTTTCTTTTAATGCAATCTAGTTTCAGCTATATATTTTTTAACAATCTTATAGGATCAACTACTTCGGTGATTTAATTATCAGTATATAAAAAAAACCAAACATTAGATTTCTACTGTTTTAGGGATAAACCCACTCTTGAGAAATGATACATCACCCATCCTTGCTCTTCCAAAATGATTATGTTGTTTATATTGAAGTATGTTTTCCTAAAGGGAGCAAGAGCTGTACACTCAGTCAAAACATATTTCATAGTGTATGCAGTCTGGACATGTTGGTTACATTGACTGTTCTTTCCCTTTCAGTAAGTACAAGGTGTTCATTAAATAAGTGGTCAGAATAGCTCTGAAGAAAAGGATGCCACAGAAGTAACATTCGTCCCCTTTTAGCTAAACTCATAACCCATAAGGCCTTCACAAAATTGTGGTTTTTATAACACTATTGAACTATTTAGAGCAACAAGAATGTATAGTTAGTCTCCAAGTTTAACAGAAGAAATGTAATGAAATCAATCTTGAACAAAAATGACACCTCCATCAATTATAGCTGAGGATCATGAAGGATTGAAATTATATTTTTCCAGGATCAGTTTTCCAATTTATCCAAAGGCGATTCTAACCTTCTGTCCTGGAGTAACAAAGTGCCTCACACATTTCATGCAAGCTTTCAAGTCTTTTTTTTTTTTTTTTCACTGCTTGTTTTTACTATCACAACTGAAAATCATCTCTCATGTGCCAAACATCTCAGGGGTTGAGTTGGATCCTTTGTAATTGATCTGAGTTAAAATGATGATCACTCTTTCTGTTGTGAACAGATCCAGTTTTCCTCTCTAATGCTCCCACTTTTTCAAACTCAGTCACCATTCTCTTGATGGTTTTTGAATGGGTATTGAAGATGGAAGCCAGAGTATGAATGTTGGTATCATTAGTGAAGGAATGAATATTTTTTTTTCCTCTCACCACTGCATATTTAAGACATTGGGTCTGTCACAAAATAATTTTAACCTGTTCTCTTTCTAGCTGAATAACTCAAAAGATTTTTCAGTGATTCTTACAACAACTAGTAACAAGATGGCTAAACATCTCAACTGAAAACCTGGGAAAAAAAGTAACTCAGTTTAGTGTTTTTTTTTTTGTTTTTTTTAAAGATATTAAACATTTTGTAGGATGGACAATTACACACACACATATATATATATATATATATATATATATATATATAAAAAAACAAACTCACTTTATTTCCACCCTGATCAACATATCGAGCAGTGTTGTTGAATACCCGAAGCATTGGAAGCAACCCATTCGATGTTCCATTGGTCTGAAAAAAGAAGGAAGCTTGTTAGCCACATCCTGGCATTTGTCATGATGTTACACTTCATTTCAAATTTAAATGTACATGCATGTATTTACCTGGCCTCTTCACTAAGGCAGGATATGACAATTTTTTTTTTTTATATGAAGAACTATACACATATGGATAAAAAATAAACCAGTCCTCACAAAGGCAGCCATGCTGGTGTCTATACACCAATTCTCTTAATGAGGAAGTGTGCTGCTGCAGGGTTGGGAATCCCAGGACTTGGCAACTTCTATCTAAAATGAGGAGACCAATTTCCTCCACTTCCAACCAAAAAAAAAGCACTTAAATATACATGTATAAGTAATCCCATGTGTAAAACAAATGTAATAAGTTTGGCAGTACTTACTGGAAACACGTAATTTAAATGTTTTAAACTCATTTTAAAATGAAGTCTCCTTAAAGTTACTTTAATGCCAGTTATTTTGCATAATCAGATCTTATATTTTATTTTGCATCTTTCCTGACAGTGAGGACTGTATAGTATTGTCTACTAATATCTGTCTTACATTAATAGTTGCTTTTTGGTTGGTTGTGACAGTGATTGATATGTGCATCAATTGTATTAAATGTTAGGTTTTGTGATCATTAAAGATAAAAAAAGCAATCTAACATAGAATGGGGGCATATAGGCTGGAAATTTGCAAAAATAAAATTCCTACTCTACCCAAAAGGACTTATTTCCAGTTAAAGGAAAAAAAAAAAAAAAAAAAAAAAAATGCCATATCCTGCCTCAGTGAAGAGGCCAGGAAAAGAAAAAAAAAAAAAAAAAAAAAAAAAAAAAAAATTTTTTCAGAAAATGAAGTTTGGTCTGACTAGTTATTTAAAGCCATTTATATTTATTTCTTTTCTATTTTCCTCATCTTTTACCCCAATTTTTACAAATTTATTCCCAGATGATTAAAGTAAAGTTAACTTCAGCAAAAACAAATTACCCTTATCTCAAATACCCGATATGCCAGGAAGCTTCATAAGTGATATTTATTCTTTGCGTTATTGGTTTCCAACTTCTGAAACTATCAAACTCTTCTTCCAGGCAACCGAACAGGGATCCATGATCTACTGGTGAGCTTCCCTTACTCTACATGGATTTGATCCTTTAAAAATGAAGAGAAAATTACAGAACATTTCAATAAAGAAATATGGAAACTCACCCCAGCAATATAACTACCAAAGCTTCTGATGTTGTGAACATGAAGACCAATGCCACCAGCACTCTTCGAGATGAGAGCACACTGCTTGAGAGTATTGTAAATACCCTCAATGCTGTCAGATTCCATTGCCAAAAGAAAGCAGCTGCAAAAGGAACACACAAGAAAACTGGTTATAAGATTCTGTGCCATAATAGATGGGTGCAGGTACTGTTGAGTTAGGTAGTGTTGTTATATTAATAGGTTTTTATTAATACTTAAATCCAGAAATAGTCAGTGTGTCCTGGGTCTATCTTGAGAAGTGTTCTCTAGCATTCCTATGCTAGGGGATACCTTATTGGGTGTGCGTAGGGAAATAGTCCAGATACAGTACAACAGTTAACAGCACCGGAAACAAAATTACTCATTTTAAAATTAGCACGACAGAATTTAAGAAAAGAAAATTATTACATGTGCTGCAGAAGTGTAAATGGTGTACCTGGAAGACATACTTGTTAACGTTGTGAAGGTTAATTCCTTTTCTACCTTAGCAAATGTAAATCCAAGCAACGAACAAAAGAGGACATTGGATAGGGGGTAAATAAATGTATCAATTATTTACATATATACAAGACTGGTTAACTTCTATCTGTTAAGCATGTTGGTGTTGACATCAAATACTGGTCTGTGTCAGGCCTATTTGAATTGGGTATATATTGTTTTTTAGTCAGTTCAAAATTAATGTTTTGGCTTTTTAAGTGGGAGTGGCTGTGAAAGGTCAAAATATATTAATTTTGTTTTGGTTAAAGCAGATTCATGCATGGTTATTTCAATAATAAGGAAAAGAGTTCAAATTTATTAAATTGTTGTGATTATTTACATGCAAACTATTGACCTCATCTTTGTTACAGTCATTACAATATTTTGCTCACTCTGCACTTCACCCCTAGTGTACTTGTTGATCTGGGTACCCTCCAGGGAATTCCAAACTGCCCCTTTTATCTAATCTTCAGGGGTAGAGTTTTCCGATTCCACTGCTCACATCTAGTGATATCTTGCCTAGCTCTTATTTAGTACGACTCTATTACTATTAGTTCAAACTTCAAATGAATGAAAAAAAAGAAAAAAAGAAGCAAGACCTGCTTACCTGGATAACTGTGGTCGTAGAGTCCCAGAATTGAACAGAGTTGGTGAAGCATGGATAAACCATTTCTCTGACATCAAGTTGTAGGTCTTTGAAAAGAAAATTCAAAGATATAGCAAAAATTCTAAAATTTGTTCTTCAATTAAAGATAAAATGATAGCTAATGAAACTATAATGATAGTGAAATTATGCAGTTTAGAAATTGTATTATATATCTCACAAAAAATGCAACATGGGTGGAATTGATATTTTCCTGATGCAGCCACAACTTCACTGGACGGGTGTGGCTCAGGTATAAAGGCAAGATAAAGGGTAACCTCTCAACTGTCAATGTGCCCTCATACTAACTTCAAGCGAGTTGCCCTGGATAGAAATAACTGGAGATATTTATGCCAGAGTGGTATCAGAAATAAGACATTGACCAGCTGAGAGATGAAAGATAACAGCAAAATGTGCCAGCAAAAAAATGGGACTGAAGTGTCACATACAACATAAACATAGGAACACCAGGCCATGTGCATTGTGTTTTTGCTCAACTATTTATAGGCACAGGCTAGTGATGCAGTGTATATAGTATTATTCTAATGGTCATTTTAGTGGTTGTTAACAGTTTTGAATTATTCTGAGGGCTATTTGAGCGTTCCTTTTGGTGGTGGTGTTTTTTGTATGTTTTAGCTATGCTGTCTGTAAGTAATTGGGGGGGGTATCTTAGTCTGTATAAACTTCTATTTTTGCTTGCTGTGATGTTACTGGAATTGTTTATTTTGGTTATATATTTTAGATTTTTGGGGGAGGAAGGCACAGTTTATGGAATTTTATGTTTCTTACTAGGTTATAACATTGTTCTAACTTCTGTTGGGGACCAAATTTACATTTTGTCATAGTGCCTGTTGGACTTTCTAAATTAATATCCTTTGTGTAACATGAAAATGGAGATTTGTTAACTTCCATCTCAAATAAAATGTGATACTTATTGTTTTAATAACACTTGTAATTGCCTACATTTTCACAAGATGGCTAATGAAACAATTGGATCTGTTTTGCCCTCAAAGACAGAATTAATCCAACATTAATACACAGCATTAATAATATAAATTAATGAGAATTAGCCAAATACAAACCTCAATGACACTGTCAATATCATTATGGTGAATGCCAACAGCCACTCGCATTAGCATATGTTGAGGACGTTCAGCCACTTAAAAGCAAAAATAATTAAAATTAAGAATAGTAGTAAAAGCAAAAAGGTGTTCCCATGTTTAAAAACAGTAAGACAAGAATATGTTATGTAAAAAAATAAAATAAAAAGTTTAACCTTATACTTCATTGGTTGCCCATCATTCCAATAACACTTGTAGAATAGAAGACTTGCACAAGTGGGCTAATGAAACATCATAATTTGCCTTTTTTGCTTTTAAAGTGAGAATTACATCCAAGTTGAGTGAGGGTCACCACACCTGGTTGTCCACCAAGGGAGCACCCGCACACTCATGTGAAAGAAAAAGAAAAAAATTTTCATTTACCAACACTGTTCTCTGATGGACTTTACCAAAGCAAATGTAAGTATTTTTTTTTTATTTCACAAAAAGTATTTATCAGCAGAAGAAAAATCTTGCCAGGTTCTCAACATTTTTAAATTTAAAAACAAAATTTTGAAAAGGCAATTTATTTAAAAAAATTTTTTTTTTACTACTTACGTTTATAAATACTTGTCAAAAAAATAAAATCCTTACAACGATGTTGATAAAAACCATCAGAGGACAAAACGAGTTGGTACAGAGATTTTCCCTCCTTTTGTCATGATTCTCACACATACAAATAAGAGTAGTAAGCAGTACCAGTGAAATGTTGTTATATCAACCTACATTCTTAATTTTTATAAGTAGGTTGTTAATCTCTTAGCATTCAACTCTCTCCATAAATATTGGCTCTTAATGTTCAAACCACCATAATCTGTCCCATATATACTGTTGACAGCACTATCACTAAAAACACAGATTGCCATGTTAGCAGTGAGACATGAGTTGAGTGTTCAATGTTAAAGTATTAAATGAAAATGGTGTGGAGAATGCAAAAAAATGGCTACAAATTCAGCTTCTCTTGTTCGGCACAAGGTTTCTGTGGTCAAAGTAGCTATAGCAAATACATTTGCATGGCTGTGGGTTTAAAATCATGCCAAAACTTATTAGAGAGAGAAAACCAACAAGACCAAACATGGTGGTATAAATCACCTGCTTCTAATAACATGTTGGTAGTGAGAGAAAAAATTCATTCTTCATATTTATTTATAGAAATAGTAAATAAATCATTATAGTTGGTTCACATACTTTTATAATCTTGTAAATATTAAATTATTCTTGTAAATAAGCAATCTAATAAATATAGTGCTTAATACCTTTATTATCTGTGTGTGTGTGTCTGTTTTTTTTGTCTTTTTTTTTAAATCAATTCATTGCAAGCAAGGTGATGAGGCTATCATTGCTTTTTAAAAAAACCTGTGGTCAAGGAAGTCAAAAATGTATATTGTCATAGCAGTGTCAAAGGAATAACTTGGACACATACACACATGAAGGTTAAACATGACCCCCACACCTTGAGTTATCTCCTTTGACACTTTTACCTGGCTAGGAAGTTTCCTCTCAATCAACTTCTGAATAGAAGACCAAAATATATTCCCTCCGTCATTTTCAAGTTATTGTACACCCATGTCAAGTTTGTGATTAAATTTACATTTCTCCGTAAATACTTTCAACCGTGTATGTATTTATCAGAGAAGAGCTTTTACCTAAACGCTAGTAATTTTTTTTAGTTACATACATATACACACACCCCAATGAAAAGACAAAAGAAAAACTTTTTAGCCAATGTGTTTCACCATCTGACAGACTGTAGCAAATGTGGATATTTTTGACAGTTACTGAAAATTTTTAAATTTAAGAACTCAAATATTCATCCGGTTAACTGAAAACTACGTTAGAACCTAGCTTATGTCATGTGGCACCTTTGAAAGGAAAGTTTTAAATTTAGAAAAAAATCCTAAGTATTCAACAGATGTCATTTAGTATACTTAAAAAAAAAAAAAAAAAAAACAAAACAAAACTAAGTATAGTTTTCCTTGTCTTTTCATTCATTTTGTCTCTTCTACAAATATACTCCATCTGAGAATGTGTGTGTCACACAAGTGATGTGTAGAATAGTATAAGGGATTTAAAGTCATGGCAGAAATATATATATATTTTTATATTTATTACCACTCACCTAATAACTAATTTTATGAAAACTAGAAATTCATTTGCATTGAGCTTAATAATTATATTAGTTAAAAACACAAAGCTTTAAGGAAAGCAAATCAGGTTTGTTTTTTTTGTTTTTTTTTAGTTGGACCCCCCTGCCTGAAAACCAGCCCTGAATTGTAACATACAAAACTTAAAACAAAAATATTTAATTTCAAATGTTTTTATTTGCTTTTAGTTGTTTTTATGAATATGGATAATATTTTCTGAAAGCAAAAAAATTTTTTTTGATGAAAAATGAGTTTTTAATACAATTAATTTCTTTATTTTAGATTTTTACATTTAAGTTAAAATATGAAATCTGATGAAAGCCAAATTCACTTTCATAAATGTCCTTATGAGAGAACTTTTTTTTTTTTTTTTTTTTTTTAGCGCTTTGTAAATTGTATCGCTTGTCCAATCAGAATATCTGCAGTAATTAAGAAATGTAATTGTGTTCATAAAAAAAAAAATTGTTAAAAATGGCTGTGATTGAAAAGTACAGAAGGTCACAATCAATAAGACGTCACATAGCTTGAGTCCAAGCGTTCTCCGCTGAACGTCCATTTCATTATTGCAAATTCTTTGTGCGAAACACATGTTGAGCATTTTGAATTAGCGTTTTCACTAACTAAAAAAATTTGAACACCATCCCAAACCATTTTCAGCAGCAACATTACATTTTTAAAAGTATCATTTACTTCATTTGCAATTTCAATTTTGTGAAGTTGTTTTACAGTTTTCAGTGAGTCGTCTTATTTCAATTTTTCTATTACCAGGCTTCATTTTCATACTGAAATTAAACTAAGTACCATTTGTTTTTAACTTTTTTTATATGGCTATTTTTTCAATATATTTTTTGAATTTGATAATTGTATTCATTGAGATTTTAATTCATTTACATATTTTTTCTTATAAGAAAGAAAAGATTCCCCACCAAGCACTGTTTTTTTTTGTTGTCATCATCCATTTATTTATCAAGATACCACTATAAATTTTTATGCATTTTTTTTTTTGTTTTAATGAATATTTACAGTGTTTTGTGATTCATACTTCGCTCTTTATTAGTTTCTGTTTCAATTCTAGAATTGAAACCCAATGATGACATTGTTTCCTCATTCAATTTATTCAAGTATTAATTATTAATCTCAGTTATGACATTTTTTCATAAATAAAATATCAAAATTAATAAAATGAATGGAAATACAACACAGTAAAATGTAATAAATGTTCATAAAATTATAGTATTTTATGTACACTCCTGATAAAATTTCATAAGAAAGCTACCTATAAATTAATTAGACACCTTCCTTCTCACTTGCAACGGTTTTCTTAATCATACTCATAAAACCCAGGTTGTGTGTGTGTGTTCGTTCATTTATATATTGAATCGGATTTCCTACATTTTTCAACAAAACTTCACAGGACTGCGTAAAATTACCTTGCGGTGGTTCTGACAGCGCCAAAAAAATTGATTTTGCTCGAAATCAATTTGAAAACATGATTAAGAGGCATCGCTGTCGCGAGAATAAAAGGGGGACAACTCATATTAAGTTATACTTATTATAAAACCCTCTGTGTGTGTGTGTTTATATATGGGATTGGATTTCCTACATTTTCCAATTGATTTCAACAAAACTTCACTTTTTTTTTTTTGGCAGGTAGTGTTTCTTATTGTCTTCCACACTTTCTTTATTTTTACATTCAGAATGCTTAAAAAATTCCATTTACAAGACAATTGTTTATAATAAAATTCTATTCAATCGGTAGACTCATAACAACTGAAAACAATGTTTTTGTTTGACCAATTCGTAAAAAAAAAAAACTAATCAAGACATGCGTGTCCATCAACCTTAAACAATAATCTTTGTCAATTTTATTTTTCAGTCTTTATGATGGTCGATACTTGATCTATCTCTTACATCCCCGGGCAACGGCAGGCTCTACTGCTAGATTCTTTATAATATATTTTCCATAAAGCATCGTAAACATAAAAGTGAAAGCTAAAAAAAAAAAAAAAAAAGAGAAGTTTTCCTTAAAAATAACGAGGTAAATAATTTGTCCACTTAAAATAAATAATTCCACTTCTCTCCTCCTGTTGAAAAATTTATCCCCACGTAAGCTGTCAATATACGACGAAATTCTCATTCATCACCTGTCAAGTGACGTGAAATGTTCTGACCCATTGTTTTATTTTCAAACTACATCTTTTTAGTGCAGAAACTAGTAATGCTTGTTTCAAAATATTTTAAATAAACATAATTTATGATTTTCTTAAAATTAGTTTTGAAAAAATAATTGATTTTTAAAAGAATTTCAAACTTAAATTTTTTTTTTTTTTTTTTATAAAATGGAAAAAATGATTGACATGACTAATTATCTGTTAATTTTTCTGACTTAAAAAAAAGAAAAAAGATTTTTAATAAAGATTTTAAAAAAATGTAAAAAAATGTAAACCCAAAATACTTTGATCTTTCCTCTTAATAACAAACATTTAGACGATAAAGTTTTGTTTTCGTAAAGTTTGGCGTCTTTTTCGTCATGCTATGCTCTTTTTTAGCAATCTCATGGAGGTACATACATTTGAAGAATGCACACTTCTGATCAAGACATTTCAAATCTGTGAGAGTTAAATTTTCTGCATAATTGAACAGTAATTTCAAAATTAAATTTATTAAAAAAAAAAAAAATCCAACAGTATTATTATAAACATCTTTAGTTGGTACATGTGCTAGAGTTGACATTTTTATTGTAAAAGGCTTATATATATATATATATATATATATATATATATATATATATATATAAAAACTAACTTACCTTTGTTGTTTATTTTTAATAAATATGACCTCTCCAGAGTCTGTAAAATGAGAAAATGGATTTTAACAAAAGGACACAAATGTAAAATCATGCTTTTATTAGATAAATTCACCTTCATGGTAGGTCTTTCATAAATGTTACTTTAAATACAGAAGTAAACAATTTTTTGTTTTATAAGCAGGTAATGATTTGAAGCAGTATACAAGTTTTAGTTTCATTTTGTTCTTCCCAAGTTGCTTAGGAATTTGCCAAATTACAGTACAATTATTTATATAATTCACACTAACTGTCCTCATTTTTTTTGTCTCTTAATTCTCTGAAGAAGGATAGTGGGCAAAACAGAATTAGACACACATACATATATAAAAATACACTGGTTTATGCATAAATAACACATCCCAGATAGTTTAAATCTGTAGATATTAGGACACTTCTACCTTGCTAATTCTGCATGTTCTAAGCTACTTTAAAAATTTATTCCACAGTTTGTACAAGCAAAAACTAACTCTCCAAAATGTTGGTTTAAAAAAAAAGAAAAGAAAAAAAGCCAGAATGTTAACACAAGGCCCAAAATTGTATCCACTGAGCCACCACACACACACATGTATACATATGGGCAAAATAGGAAAAATTTGCCCAGTCCCCTGTAACACTTGTCAATACTGTCATTGATCACAGGCGTGGAATCCCTAGAACTGGGCCTTCTCTCTAAAAAAAGGAGAAATGTTTACTCCAGTTCCGATCAAAAATAGTAAATAAAAAATACAGGTTACAAAATAAAATTTCCATACTTGCCTTGATAAAAGGCTCCTCAAGGAACAAAATGTGTGGAAATAAAATGTTTTGTCAGAAAATAGTTGCCATCTGCAAATGCTTTATCAATAAAGATTAAAGAGTTTTGATTTGCCCATTAACTGTGCACTTGTGATTACATATGAGCATGGCCATCAAGGATTTCCAAGCACTTTCACTCCTAAGGTTTGGGCCAACCTGTGGCAGTTTTCAGGCACTACACACCGAGATCATCTCCCCAGGACAATATTATCAAATCACCTACATGACTAATCAATCCTGGTGAGATTTGAAATCAGGTCTTATGGCAAGAATGCCTATGCACTAGGCCAGCAGTTCTCAACCAGTGCACCCCAAGTTAACAGAAAAGTAATTTATGAATTTATTTATATATTTTTAATTTAGAGATACCAAGAGCAATGTAATGTTTTAAAAAAATAAATGCTCATTTCACAAGACTATTATTTACCTATTTTCAATTTTCACGTCTTACTTTTACTCATTAAAATTTAAAGTGCACTCCAGAGTGTTAGTTATTCAACAAGTGTACACTGAAAAAGTTTGAGAAACACTGCTCTAGACATCTGTCTATGTACATACCACACTAAATATAAGAACTACAAAATTTACAACTCAAATCATATTCCTTTCCTACTTACAACACAAAACATTTTCCACACTATCAAATCGAGCAGAAGCATAGTGGAGTATATATATATATATATATATATATATATATAAGTCAGTAAGCAGAGATAAAATAAAATAAAGCCTATCATCAGTACTAAAATAATACTACAACCCCTGTACCCACTTAAGTAGAATTCAGCATAAAAAAGACAAAAAAAAAAAAAAAAAAAAAACTACCTATTATAATATCACAAATAATATATATTAAGAGAAAGACATTAACTTACCTTGAAGCCAAAATAATTGTATTTGTAATCCCTGTCATGAATAATGGCAGAATTGAGTCTCTGAAAGAAGAAGTGATTAAAAAGTCAGAATTTGCTATTTACAAAATTTAAATTAATGCCAAAAGAATGGCAATTTGGAAAGCACATCAACAGCATTTGAATTCTTTACTGACAGGAAGGAAAAATATGGAGAAAATCTTCAATGCTATAGTAGCATGTGACTTATGTCAGGAAAATAAGAGATAGTCCTGATTGAATTTAACAAAAATTTGGAGCTTTAATTCAGATTTGTTACCTACAACTTAACACTTTGCATATTATTTAAAACCAGAAAATATTTTTTGATTGCAAGAATTTTTTTTTTTTTGTGATATGAACCTTACTAATTAGAAATTAACTATTTATATTGAATTTACTATAGAAATCAAGCACATTGATATTCAATTTGCTATGAACAGGAGTAGAGGTTGATTTTTTTTTTTTTTAGAATTTGGTTTTCAGCTAAAGATTACTTCAACTCCTAACGTCTGTCTGAACTCTGAAATTTTATTCGCTAATTAAATTTTGACATCTTCAAGTCTAGAATTAGCTGTCTATCTTTCCTATTATCTTGCCCTTTCTTAGGCTAATAAAACACCACACAGTAACCCTCTACTTTGAGTGGCCCATCAGCCTTGTATTGGGCAAACATGAGAGAGAGAGAAAAAAAGAAAGATTGATTTTACAGCTTATCAACTTGCTATTGGTCATTTAAAGCCAGAAAGTACTTTTAAAGTGCAATTTTTTTTTCTGAGAATGATCCAGAAATAAATGGTTTACTTAATCCATATCAGAGAGAAGATGTGGATTCATACCTTTCCCAAGGATATTAACACTTAAGTGAATATAATAAATCCAACTGGAACGCCACTGCTGGATTAACAACCCCAAGCCATTATCCATTACATCAACTGCTCGTTCAAGATTACAGTGCCAGGTATTCCCAAGAAGTCACCCTTCAAGCTACAGACAAGGCTCAGTGCTGCTCAACTTCAGTAATTGTAAGGGAGCTGGCATTTCAATGTGATGCCTGTAACCTTGGTTACGAAAGAACTTGACCCCAATATACACTATCACACCAGGGTATTATAGAAGTCAAACCAATTTGAGAGTTAAAGTGGAAGGTACCCTCAGAACCACCAGGTATATAAACCACCTGACATTCATTTCTGTCAAATTCTCAAACAAGATTCAAGTAAAATCCATTGAGTCCAGACATTCTTATACTTAGTCCGATGAAAGTAGACCCTTGTCTTGTTTCAAGAATCCTTCTAATTCAATCTCTCTACAACCAAAATGACATGTATTATTTTAGCATGCAGTGTACTGCAGTTTCTGTAGTCTACACTGTGAAATGATTTCTAGTGAGAAGTTTATATTTCATGGTATGAATTTTATTACCCTTTCAACCTGAGTATTCCTGACCAGTCAATATAAAATAACATACTTAACCCACTACAATGCTGTTAAAAGTTCTTGCAGTGGAGGTAGACTGCACCTTGGAGTGTAAAAGGTGTTAAGTAGGCCACACTACACAGCATAGACCACAGAAACTGTAGTAGACTGCATGCTAAAGTAGCAATAACAAATCATTATACATTAAATTCATTACATTAGCTGAAAACTCCGCCTACTAGCAAGATGTTGAGCTAATTCTTAAAGGAATAAATAGAGATTTGGGTTTCAGTAAGCAAGTATCAATCTGTATTTATTGGCTCGTCTGATCAAAAAATAGTCACCAACATGACCTTTTGGGTGATACTTAATTGGGAGGAGAGTTGGAAGAGAGAGAGGTCATGTGCACACATTTTATTTATTTTTTTTTTTTTTTTTTTACTAAAAATCTCCCTCTTTTTATTGCAGTTATAAACAGGCAATGAATTTTTATGTTGTGTTTTATGTTAATAAAAATGAAGTGGTTTATATTTTTGATGGAGACCATTGTTCATACTACAAATGCCAAACATGCCAACCAGAATCAAGAGTAAGAGGAAGGGGGGAGGCTGGCAAGAATATGGAGAGAACATTGAAAGAACAAAATAAACTGCAAATAACAGAAGTGTTTTTCTGGCTAAGTTCACTAGTTAACAAAAACAGTAACAGCAAAAATCCTCTACACTAACCTCTTTATTTTCCTTTACAATTTCAAAAATTTCTGGAGAAACCATTGGGGAATGTTTCTTTGTATGTGGGTTCACATACTCATGTAAATTCTCAATAACATCTGGAAAAAAAAAAAAAAGCTCTCATGGTCATTGAAAAAAGAATGGAATCAATTATCAGACTTATACTTTCAGAAGCTTTTACAACAGATGCCAAAGATTTGTGCTACAGAAATCAAGGATAAAGGAATTTTTTTTTTTTGACAAGAGTAAAATTTAATGAAATGCTTTCTTCCTTGTTATAATAAAAAAAGATCATGTATAAAGACACACACACAAAAACCAAAACAAAACAGACACACAAAAAAAAAAAAAAAAAAAAAAAAAAAAAAAAAAAAAAAAGAGGCACAAAAAACAGACACTAAAAAAAAAAACAAAAAAAAAAAAAAAAAAAAAAACAAAAAAAACAAAACAAAAAAAACAAAAACACAGAGACACACAAAAAAAAGACAAAACACAGAGACACACACAAAAAAAAAAGACAAAACACAGACACACACAAAAAAAAAAAAGACAAAACACAGACACACAAAAAAAAAAAAGACAAAAACAGACAAAAAAAAAAAAAACAAAAAAACACAAAAAAAAAAAAAAAAAACACAGACAAAAAAAAAAAAAAAAAAAACAAAACAAAACAGACACAGACAAAAAAAAAAAAAACACAGACAAAAAAAAAAGACAAAACACAACAGACAAAAAAAGAAAAAAAGACAAAACACAACAGAAAAAAAAAAAAAAAGACAAAACACAACAGACAAAAAAAGAAAAAAAGACAAAACACAACAGACAAAAAAAGAAAAAAAGACAAAACACAGACAAAAAAAAAAAAAAAAAGACAAAACAAAAAAGAAAAAAAAAAAAAAAACACAACAGACAAAAAAAGAAAAAAACAAAACACAACAGAAAAAAAAAAAAAAAGACAAAACACAACAGACAAAAAAAGAAAAAACAGACAAAAAAAAAAAAAAAAAACACAAAAAAAGAAAAAAAAAAGACAAAACACAACAGACACAAAAACAAAAAAAAGACAAAACACAACAGACAAAAAAAAAAAAAAGACAAAACACAACAGACAAAAAAAAAACAAAAAAAGACAAAAAAAAAGACAAAACACAACAGACAAAAAAAGAAAAAAAGACAAAACACAACAGACAAAAAAAGAAAAAAAGACAAAACACAACAGACAAAAAAAGAAAAAAAGACAAAACACAGACAAAAAAAGAAAAAAAGACAAAACACAGACAAAAAAAGAAAAGACAAAAACACACAACAAAAAAAAAAAAAACAAAACAACAGACAAAAAAAAAAAAAAACACACAACACAGACAAAAAAAGAAAAGACAAAACACAGACAAAAAACAAAAAAACAAAACAGACACACAAAGAAAAAAACACAAAACACAGACAAAAAAAGACAAAACACAAACAGACACACAAAAAAGAGAAAAACACAACAGACAAAAAAAAAAAAGAAAAAACACAAACAGACAAAAAAAACAAAAACAAAACAGACACACAAAAGAGACAAAACACACAACAGACACACAAAAGAGACAAAACACACAACAGACACACAAAAGAGACAAAACACACAACAGACACACAAAAGAGACAAAACACACAACAGACACACAAAAGAGACAAAACACAACAGACACACAAAAAAAAAAAAACACAAGACACACAAAAAAAAAAAACACAACAGACACACAAAAAAAAGACAAAACACACAACAGACACACAAAAAAAGACAAAACACACAACAGACACACAAAAAAAGACAAAACACACAACAGACACACAAAAAAAGACAAAACACACAACAGACACACAAAAAAACAGACAAAACACAACAGACACACAAAAAAAAGACAAAACACAACAGACACACAAAAAAAGACAAAACACAACAGACACACAAAAAAAAGACAAAACACAACAGACACACAAAAAAAAGACAAAACACAACAGACACAAAAAAGACAAAACACAAAAAAACATGAAACGCAGAAAGAAAAAAAAAAAGTGGGAAAGGCCTGATGTAGTCACAACAAAACGAGAACTGAAAACCAAATCCAATTTATATAAATGAAACAGCGTATGTCCATCCATTTTTTGATCCCATTGAATCATAAACAATCTGAACAGGTAGTAACTAAAGTCATTATACATTATTAAAAATTAAATAACATTTATTAAAGTTAAATTTAGAGTGAAAAGGTTTGAAAAAAGAAAAAAAAATTTTTTTTAAAGTTTAACTTTGCTTTTCATTGCAACAAATATCATCCAATTAAAAAGCAATTAAAACTTAAGCAGGGCATGGTACATTGCTCATGTTTTTGTTTTTTTTTGTAGCATGTGTACCGTGGTATATTCGAAGTTCGGGTTCCCTAATGTCTTAAGAGTGACTTTATGTGAAAAGATAAAAAAAGATAAAAATAAAAAGAAAAAGATTTTTTTAAAATAAAAATTGCATGCAAAACAAACCACAAAGACCAGTTGCACATACGAAGAAAGATTATGCCAAATAAAAATAATTCCATTATTCCTCAATTCGTTAACTTAATTTACATAGGGTGCTGAAGGTAAAAGGACGAAGGGCCTGCCACAGGCCTCCAATTCCTCAATTGGAGCCGCTTTCCATTACTCCACCATATAAAAAAAAAAAAATAAAAAAAACACCAGTCTTCTAAAGCAGGTAGAGAAAAGAAGCATTGACACTGTAAACATTTTTTCTGCTACTCGTCTTTATTCAAGCCAGACCTAATAGGATAAATCTGCCACTCAAGCACTCCAACCCCTACCACTCCTCTGCCCATCTCTTACATCACAATGTGTGCAGCTCACCATTCACCATTTTAAATGTGACTGTTTAAATAAGCCTGTGTGTAACAAACTTCAGACAAAATAACAACATAAAAACTTCAATTTAGTGACTCAAGTTTTGAATCTCTTTTCTGGAATCCTATAAAATTGTTATGTAACCCATTGGAACTTTGTAACATTAGAACACCCACAAAGTTGAGTGAATTCTTCCTCAATGTACCATGCCCCTTCGGGACATTAAAAGATTATAGTTCTCCACATGTCTTTTGTAGCTTAGTAAATACTGTTTTTGTTATCTTTCCTAAACCTTGTTCTGCCATCCATTTACATAAGTTTGTTAGGTAGGTGATACAGTTTCCCAAGCTTCCTTCCTTAATTTTTCATATTTCAATGTAGCTTTGGATTTTGGGGTCACACTTTCTGTCCTGTTAAAAATGCTTCCCAGATATTTAAGTCACATGTTCATTTTGCTGACAACCATGTATTTTATCTTCTTGAAAATGATGTTTAGTCCTTTCTTCCTGTTTTCCTTCACTACCTTCTGTAGGAGTTCAATATCAATTTTGGTAACAGTTTTACTTTTGCCCAAGAAGCAAAGAAATAATGAAAACATTGTCTTTGTGATCATCAATTGTGCACTCCTAACTGAATATAGAATCAAAAGATGCCACAAGTGAAGATCAGCCCCCCCCCCCATGCAGTCAGATGTGGCACAAGACCGAATTTAATGTCAGGTATCCGAGCCCATAGACTAAGCTAAAAATTCTCCTTTTACTAAATGCTACATGTAGTTATATTTTAAGACTAACTTTCAGTTTCACCTGCTTTTAATAAATTGTGATACTTTCTTGCCATTAGTATTCAACAAATTGTTTGTAGCATATTAACGTCTTGAAACCTGTTGCAGTCACTTTGTCTGTACTTAAGAGAGGAATGACATGAATTCATCCCTTGTCTTCCAGTTAAATAGTAGGGCAGAGTCTAATGAATATAAGGGAAGGATAATTGAAGTTAAACCAATTGGTCATTATGATATGAATGGCAATCCTTTCTCAAATATTAACCTTAGTGATAGGTATAAACCCATAATGAAAAGCAACCATATCGTGTCACTACACTGAGCATAAATATCTTCACAGAAGACGAGATTTAACTGTTACGCTAATTTATCATTTCCAATAAGCAATATCTTCTATATGTGAAGTGTCCCCCTCAGAAACTTAGGTGATTATAGCTTTCCAGTTTCCCTTGCAGCTCTAAATAAGTCCTGTTCTTTATTTGTTAACCCTCTTCTGCCACACATTTTCTTAAGCTCATCACCTATGTTATACACAGTTTTCCTGTCTTGTGAGTATCAGATTTTCCAAGTGTTCCTTCCACATGTTAAGTTTTATTTGTCTTTCCATTTTCTCTGAAATCTCGCCATTGCTCACATGCTCATTCTCGGTATCCTCAACATCCTTCTGTAGAACCACATTTCTGTTGTTTCAAGTCTTTTCATCTCCGAAAAAAAAAAAAAAAAAAAAAAAAAATGTCCAACATTCATTCATACAGGAGGACATGTTTCAGTTCAATACTTTGTTTCTAACAAAGTTTTTCTATCTCTTAAAAGTCTGCTTAGCTTTTGAAATGCATCTGAGGCTATCCCAATGTGCAGTTGATGTTTAGTCCTTTCTTCTTTATCTCCTTCATGACCTTCTGTTGGAGCTTTTGTAATTTTCTTTCCATGCCTGTTATCAACAGTGCCATTTGCAGATCTTATGTTAAACTTATGGCCACCAATACTGAATCCTGTTAGGATATCTAATCATCTCACTCGTCGCTGAATTTCAAAAACCAATTTATTATGACCACAGTAAGTTTTTGTATTGAAATAAATAACATTACTGATTTTGGCACCATTTTTTGCCTTCCATCGGTGCAGCGTTATTCTTTAAAAAAAACGTCAAAAAGAGAGGGATATTAGCCAATTTACAGTTTAATTAATCTGATCGGAAACAAATATTACGGCTGTTTAAGCTGCTGACACGTTTGACAGATTGATGTTCATCTAATGTTGTTTTCAGGAGGCTTTAGGTGTAAAATATAATTGAATACAACATGAGCACCTTCTATATATAATTTTTTTTAAATTATAGAAAATATTCTCTGTAATCTAATGTTTTGAGTTTTAGATACTTTCAGGCTTTAAAAATTGGCAGTAGTTGCCACTACCCCACCCCCAATAATGTTGTATATGGCCACCCATATCTACACAAACGAGCACATTTGCATAAATACAAAAAGTTTGAGGACTTGTAAGCATTTTCATTTATGATCAGGAAATAAGTTTGTACTTAAAAATAATATCACGAAACAGACAATGCAGAAATTTAAAAGATTTAAAACTTTATAAATTTTTATAACACAATTGCTGTAAAATTTCATTAATCATTGAATTTCTATTTTTTTTTTTTTTTTTTTAATAAGTGTCCTTAAGTAATGTCTTTTTTTCATCTGGTATGCTAATTTATTACCGATCAGTAACAATATTAAGGGAATCCACACACAAAAATGGCTACACATTTTTTTTTTTTATTGACTTTAAAGCTCAATTCCGCAGGATACTCATGCAGTGAATATAGGTGTTGCTGCATAGGATTATTGAAGTTATGTATAGGGAAACAGTTGTAACCAAGACAAGTCTCCTTTCCTTTTCTGTAAAAAAAAAAAAAAAAAAAAAAATTTCAATTCTCACAATATACTCACCACTGAAGACTTTTTGTGTCTCTTTGTGCATATTAGACACTGCAATTCTGGCAGCCAGAATGGCATAATCCGGATGCTTTGTGGTCATGGTAGCTGCTGTCTCTGCAGCCAGATTGTCTAATTCCATTGTGGTAACACCAGAATAGAGGCCATTGATAACCTTCATGGTGATGTTTTCCTTTAATAAAAAAGGGAAAAAGAAAAAGGTAAAGCAACCAGAAACAAAGTCAAAAAGCCACTTTAGTAAAATATGAAAGCAATTTCATCTAAATACATTTTTAGCTGCAAAATGATTATATTGTAATGAATGCTAGTTAGAAAGAAACATTTATCAATTAAAAGTAAAACAATTCAAATTTTAAATAGAGGATAGATTCTGAGAATGTAAAAATCCACAATGAAATGTGTGAAAATGCATAAGCTCAAAAACAACTTACAAGTCAAAAGAAAAAACATTACCTGCAATTGCTTAAAATTAAAAGAGAGAAAAAGAGAGAGAGAGAAAAAGAAGAAAAAAAGAGAGAGAAAAAAAAGAGAGAGAGAGAGAGAAAAAAAGAGAGAGAGAGAGAGAGAGAGAAAAAGAGAGAGAGAGAGAAAAGAGAGAGAGAGAGAGAGAGAAAAGAGAGAGAGAGAGAGAGAAAGAGAGAGAGAGAAAAAGAGAGAGAGAGAGAGAAAAAGAGAGAGAGAGAGAAAAAGAGAGAGAGAGAGAGAAAGAGAGAGAGAGAGAGAAAGAGAGAGAGAGAAAGAGAGAGAGAGAAAGAAAGAGAGAGAAACTGATCAACATTACGCACAATTACACCGACGAAGAATGAATTCAAAATAACCAATTCATTTAATTGTGATAGCAGATTCAACTTTTTATAATTCAACCTATGTTACAACAGTTAAAATAAATTCGTTAATCCGATGGTCAAATGTAGTGTTAGTTACAATTCACTGTGATTAAAAATGGCACCACTACTTTAGTAAACTAAGCTTATTCAATTTTTAGTCAAAGTCATTGTCCGTCTTCAGGGCCGTGGACCGGTTAAATAAATTAGAGTTCAAAGTAAAGTTTTCTTTTTTTTGGTCTTAATTCATAGGAACATTTCCCTTTGATATACGATTCTGATAAATCGCGATTCGTTAGTCTTGTTTTCATTGATTCTTGCATAGTTTCCAGACATTCTACACTTCAGGTGAACTAACACCATGTAGACCGCGAATATTCTTTGTGGTTGTTCATCATCCAGTTGTAAAACAAGTATCAGAATATGAGGCGTTAGGAGGGGAAAAAAATGTAAGGGAGGTAACTGTGTGCTTTGTGCAAAATGTTGGGAGCGGTAAATTTAACAATTTTTCAACACATTTATTTTATTGGTTCTGTTACAATTACAATCAGTCATACACGCTTAGGCGATCATGTATCTTTCTGCGGTAGACCAGTTGCCATCCAAGGCTATAGAACCCGGTCTGTTCTGCGATTTACCAATACCTGGAGAGGAGAAGTAGAGGATTCATACCTTCCCCAAGGGTATCAGTACGTTAAAGTGAATATGTTCGGTTGAAATTCGAACTCGGCTCTCCAATTCCTCAATCCATTACTCCACCAGGCCTGGTAACAGTTAACGTGTTTGTTGCGACAGTTTCTGTCACGGTTCGAGTGGCGGATGTCATGATTTTATTATCATAATGGTGTGGGGGGGGAGAGGTATTTGTCCAATTCTTTGTGTGAAGTGATAACAACAGATTGTTAGAATTGGCTAGTTTATGTAAAGAAAAACAAATGCTGACCAATTCCATTTCTAGCGTATCCACTCATTCTTTCAAACTAGTAAAACTGTAAAAGAAAAAAAATCATACGAAACTAATTCAACAAAGAGGCAACCACAAGCAACAAAAATCTTTTGCTGAAATTTTTAACTTAAAAATTTTAAATGAAACATTTTTCCCTAAATCATCCTCGTTGGCCACTAATGAATTGCGAATAGAATCGAATTCCTTACTGAATTATATCGTGATTTGCTACGAAAAATGACATAAGTACAAGTTATACCACGGTGATAAACATGGTACAAACAGTATTAATGGTCAGCCTAACTCGCTATCACATCGAGGTGAACAACAATTAAATTTAAAAAGAAATCCTTTGTCGTAATTATTTTTAACGTGATTTTTTTTTAGCCACTCCTATTCTCGCGCCATAATGACTGCTACTACTTGTCGTAAAATTCCAATCTGTTTTTTTTTTATATATACAAGTAATGTGGTGACGAATTTAAATTTGAAGCGTGGGGCAGTAATGATGGGGGAGGTCATTCTACATTTCATGCGATTAATACGTAAAAAAAGAAAAGAAAAATAGAAAGTCAATTGTTTGACATTAAACTTTGTCCTTTCTTTAAACAATTGATTCAAATGTTTAATAATTAATGATTTGAATTATTCATTTTACTAATAAAAATTATATTTATTAATCTCACATGTACATATTTAATTTTACTTAAACAACGGTGTATATGAGATTATCGAGATGGCGCTGTATTTTCGAACCCCACACTTCAAAAAACCATATACTTCCCGCGCATTAAAATTTGCGTTATGACATCTAATAGTCGGGAAACTATGGTGTTCGATCAACTTAATACAATTTCAGGAATTAAACAGGAAATCCGTGCAGATTAGATGTCAAAGATGATAACATTAAGTCTTCGAATGTAAAGTTTTTAAAAACTCTGCAAAATAATTAGATTATGTACATTTTGTGTGTGTGTGTGTGTGTGTGTGTGTGTGTGTGTGTGTGTGGAGATTCGATTTCCACTATGAACCGAGGCCAACCTAGTTCTTCAGGGTTATTATAGAAGTACGCAACGGGGTGGGAGGGGTGTTACATAAAAAGAATAACAACACAGACAGAGCATCAAGGACAAAAAATTTGTTTTCATGTGATACTTAAAAAAAAATCGAAATAACAGCAAACAAATATTGGGCTTTAATTCGAATATCAGCCACGGGCGCAAGTAGATCAAACTTCAAACACAACCTCAAAGTTATTGTTTATCAAGCTAAACTTAGATTGGCATAAGGCCACACGTATGAAGCACTACATGAGGATCATTACCCGACTTAGTAGTGACTCGATAATGGCCAACTAGTCGAACTTATACGTTTTTAATTTTAACCGTTATGCCGAGGTCCCTCTGAAGTAGACTAATGTTATTGGTACTTAGAATAATGAAATCTATCTACGACAAAATAAAAAGCGGAATTTAAGGATTAAAAATACATACCGGCTGAATAAAGTCCATGTTAAGATTATAGCAAAGTTTTTTAATCCTGGAGGTGATCTTGTCAAAATGTACATCTTCCTTGCGACCATCTAGACAATGGAGAGAGCAGAGGGAATAATAAAATTAAAAACAAAATGAAAAACGTAAAGTTAAAATTATGATAGAAATACTCATTTTAGAGAGCTAAAGGATTTTTTCTCACTATTACTTATGATAAAGAACAGCAGATATTGAAGGAAAAAAATTGAAGCCCGCCCTTTTTTAATTATATTGTTTCATACCAACTTATTAAATAATTAAAAAAAACAAAAGTTGTATAGAGTATAAAATAACTTGTTCTTTTTGGTCAAATTGAAATTAAAGAAAAAAAAACATGAAATGACCAAAGTAACAAAAACAAAACTCTAGTCTTCAGCTAGATCGGATCACTCCCATTTCTTTTTGTTGTACGATTTGGAAATCCTATCAATTTAATTTATATTCGCATATCGAGAGAAACATGTCTGATCGGTACATATTAAATATATGTAAACAATATATCTTACCTCGCTTCACAACGTACAGCTGTGGAGAATTCATGATTTACAGCAAAGACAAACTCGAAAAAGTTCAGCTACTTCTCTCTGGAGATTTCCACAAAATGTGCATTAGGCGCCAAAATTGAAATGGCGCAAGTTTAAGATACAACAGCACGTGACTGCGATCTTGTAATTTGATTGGTTAATTCATTTCCATTTAATGCGTTTTTCTTTCTTTTTTTTTTTTTTGTTTTCTTCTTCGTCTTTTCTTTTTCAATAATTTTATTTTTGTATAAATAATTTTTCGAAGAAATGAAACTGGAAAGGAAATTGCCTTAAAAAGAAAGTATAATCGTTAGTTTGTTTAAAAGAAAAGATTAAATCTGAAAATTAAAACAATTTTTACGTATTTTAAGCTTAAACAATTACTAATTTTAATTCTTACTCTTCTTTTATAAATTAATTTGGCTTCTTGCATTATAAAAAGAAGACAGTATTGTTTGTTGTAAGTAAACAATAAACAAACATAAAAACTAACAAAATAAAGCAAACGCATGAAGAAAAAGTTTTAAAAATATCGTTTTTGAGATGTAGTAAAAATGAAACAAACGTTTTTCTAAAACATTCCTATTGTAGATATGAGTAAAAAAAAAGTTATCTTGTTTATTTGGGGGTTTATTTTTTGCGGGAGAAGTACAGATGAATATAAAAAAAAATTAAACGGTAATAAATTATCAATTTTGAAGTTTAAAAAAATGATCTTCAATTCACAGATGGTAATTTAAATAAATATCTTTTTTTTTTGTTCATGTCAAGAATATAAATTAAAACAAAATGAGAGGTATTTCCGTTTTAAACTTGAATTTTGGCGAAACTAAACTTAAACATTTTAAAGGTGTTTTTTTTTTACTTGCACTATTTTTAAATTTTAAGATAGTAAGAAAAATATTGCTTTTGTTCTGATCTCAATTCGTTCGAATGTGTTAAGTTAGAAATATTTTTTCTGATGACATTCGTTTTCTTCCTCACCCTTTGAAACAAAATATATTTCATTTCAATTCAATCATATAGACACAAAAAACAATTATTTATTTGACTTAGTTTGTCAGTAAAGCTATACAGGCCCGTTACCAAGGTGAATGGGGGGGGGCTGTCTTAACGAAAATGATTAGCCTCCTGGGAAAAATGATATACGTATGAACTAATTTTTAGTTTGTAACAAAACACTGAAATTATCCATACCCCGACCCGACAAAAAACTCTGGTTCGGGCCCGAAGCTACGTGCTTTATTGATTGAAATACTTCATTTTACAATTTACAATGTTCTCTCCCTGCTAAAATATTAGGAAAACCATAATTTTATTTTTCACACTAATCAACTGAACTATGTCTTTACTCTTACCTTAAGTCATATTTTCTATTGTAGCGATTTTTTAAAAAAAATGTTAATAAAAAAAGATACGGTTTGTTAAGGTAAGAAAAAAGTCATAACTGTTGAACTTTAGGTTGTTAAAGAGACAGTAGAGAAAATAATATTTTATTTATAAAAATAAAATATTGTTTAACTGATAATGAAATATTTTAATAAACATAGATTCAAATTTATCATCATTTACTTAATAAAATATTGGATTTAAAAAGATTATTTTCAGTGATTTTTTCCTATTTTTTGTAACTTTCTAACTTGTTTTTTCAGTCACCGTTGTAGTTGATGGTCATTTAAATCTCAACTCTCAGATTCAAATAAGAATTGCTAATTAGTTGTATTTCTGTGTCGAAAATGTGAATTTCATATTGAGTTGAAACAGCCAAGTGGTCTCATGGATCCCCAACTCAGAGTCTATGATACGCACTCCACTCTAGTCTGCTACATCTCAATTTTCATAAGGTAGTAATCATAAAATTCAAATTTTATTGTAACCTAATTAAAATTATGTGTCATAGGCAATGGTGAACAATTCCAACTAGAAAAATTAAAAATAAATATGCCCAGACAAAAATTCATTAGAGACATGGCATAAATCATTCCATAATCAACAATGCTTTGCGGCAATATTTATCATCAACTTGAAATTTTTCTTGTTAAAAAGTTGAATAATTCTAACATTCAACATTCAATATTTATAGGTTTTTTTTGTTTTTTTTCGAGACTTAGCATGTACAAAATAAAATAAATTCACAGTTTTGGACGAAAAAAAAACTCCAGCCCTTAGAATGACATCAAAATCTGTGAAAAATTTTCCTCGTTTAATTTTATAGCCAGTTCTGCTTATGTGATGTCTAGGGTACAATGGGTAAATTGTCGCCATCTTATATTTTTAATTTCGCGCATGTATATTCTGTGTTTTTGAGTTTGTTGACTGCACAGTGTCAGTTGGGCACTGTCTGTGAGAAAAAGAGCACCATCACACAATTCACTCCGCCGGAAATTTGGTAACGGCATGCTGTACTCCTTGACATTTGCGCCGGAAGCTCCAATACGAACATTTCAGAGTTTGGGGGTGTCAATCTGAGAACAGTGAAGGATTCAGAAAGAGTTGGATGAGTCTAATGGCGATTACGAAGGTGTTTAGAGAGATTGAGAGTATTGATGGCAACGTTATGCCTCCATTCATCCACAGGACCTAAGACTCAACATAAAGACCTACATAAAGTGCCTTGAGTAGGTAGTGCTGGCCTAGGTCAAGAGGGTGGCTGCTGGAAAATCCTATGTTTTGGCAACAGGACTTTGCACCATGCCACACAAGCAGGAGAACCCAGTCACGGCTGTCAGGCAATTTCTGCTACCACATCACACCTTACATCTGGTCAACTAACTCCCCAGATTGCAACCTCTCTTAATTATTATATGTGGGGCGCAGTTGAACGAGAGACCAACAAAACTCCCTTGTAACACCAAAAAGATGAATTGAAGGCAACGATTATGGCAGCATTCACGAACATAAACAAGGAGATTGTCCAGAAGAATTATAAGAGATTTCGAAGTCATCCAGAGGCCATTGTTGAAGCCGATGACACTTTTATTGAATAAATTTACTGTTTAATATTTGCAAGATATTTTTGTGCAACTTTGGTAAATTTGTTAAAATGAGGTGTCAGTGTTATTTTCATTTTTGACGACAATTTATCCATGACACCCAGTAAATGTAAGTAAAAAAAAGAATAAGTTAAAACAACGAGTGTCACAAAGCACTGCTCTCCCCCCCCCCTCTCCAATCAGGCTTACTTTTCTCAGTCGGGGAGATCGGGGGGTAGTGTGCACCGATCCTGGAAACAGCTCTTAATTACACATTTCTTTGGCCTCTTAAAAACTTAGATACATGTTTTTATTTTCATTCTTTGGTAAATTGATTACGATATACAACATTAATAAGACATTAAAACGTAACTTTAAAAAAAAAAGCCCATCAGTGTAGTTGTTTCCGTAAAGCCGTAACTATTAAATTTAATGTCATGTACAAATCAGTATAAAATGTATATACATCTCACATCGAATGTCTTTAAAAATGTCAGAATCTTACTTATTATAAAACGCAGATTGTGTGTGTGTGTGTGTATGTGTGTGTGTGTCTGTGTGTGTGTGTGTGTGTGTCTGTAACGTTTATATATTGGATCGGATTTCCTACATTTTTCAACCGATTTCAACAAAACTTCACAGGACTACATAAAATTACCTTGTGGTGGTTCTAACAGTGCCAAAAATGGGAAAAATATAATTGTTTTTGCACAAAATCAATTTGAAAACACGATTAAGAGACGTCGTGAAAATGGAAAGGGGACTCACATCGGGTTGTTTGTGTGTGTGGGTTCCTTTAAATATGGGAGCGGATTTCCTATATTTTTCAGCCGTTAAAATAAAACTTCACTTTTTTTCTTTTTTTTTTTTTTTGGCAGGTAGTGTTTCTTATTCTCTTGTACACTTTTTTCTTTATTTTTAACATTCAGAATGCTTTAAAAATTCCATTTACAAGACAATTATTTATAATAAAATTCTATTCAATTGGGAGACTCATAACGATTGAAAACAATGTTTTTGTTTGAGTTTGGGTTTGACCAATTCCTAAAAAAAAAAAAAAAAAATTAAGACATGCGTGTCCGTCAACCTTAAACAATAATCTTTGTCAATTTTATTTTTCAGTCTTTATGATGGTGGATACTTGATCTATATCTTACTGTTATATCCCCGGGCAACGCCGGGCTCTACTGCTAGTTAATAATATAGAGATATTCTTTGTAGAAATGGGTCGCGTATATTAATGTTTTTTTATTAGTAAAAATAAAACGCATACAAAACTTTCGTTTCTCTCAACAGGAAGACTGCATTTACTTATTATAATTACTTTTGACTATAAATAGATGTGTTATTTTTTTAAATGTTATTTTTAACACAAACTAGACAAACAAACACACATCTACGAACATTTCTGGAACAATCTGGAAAGAAGAGCTTAAAGTAAAGGAGACTAACAAGTATAGCGGTTGTCAAATTTTTAGTTAATAGCGACATTATGGGCAACATAGAAAGTTTTATCATTACACCAGACAGAAACTTGGATTGTAATCAGATTATACAAAATATATATTCCCAAAATAATCCAAGTGTATGCATCAATTTCGACAAGTTTATATGAGGAAACTGATGAGTTTTATGATGACATCAATAACATATCGCTTCTCAGCCTTTTGGCTGTGATGAAAGCGTATTCTCTCCGTATTTCAGATGGGAGCAGGCGCTCAGTCCTGGAGATTCCGACTCTGCAGCAGCACCTTCCCCATTGTACTAAGAGAGATGGAATCGGTGTATATTGACGCCAGCATGACAGTGGTCGCAAGGACTGGACAATTTTTGTATATCGCCTCTCGGCCTACATTTTTTCATCATAGAATTTTGTACATATGTTTTAGTATCATTAAAAAAAAATTATGACACGGGGCGCGTTTTGTAGGTCTCCCTAAAGTGGATGTGGTATTATGGTGCATGGAGGATTGATTGGTGACGGACGAGTTCTTATGGTGAATGAGTAAATTGTAATGTCTGAATGGGTCGTGAATCAGATTAG